GTGTGGCCCGTGTCGAAACTGAAAACTTATTTCCATGTTTTGCTCGGTCTAGGACAGCCAAGCAAAGGTCTGCTCTCAGCATACTTACTGATCAATAAACATATTATGCACCTGGCTCTGCCTTCATCATGCTTATCCCAGCAATGCCACCCCCCAGACTTGAGGAACCTTGCCCGCGGTCCTGGGGGGTGGGGCGCTCGAATTTTTCCTTCGGAAACACACAGAGAACTTTGGCCAACACGCGGGCCGCGAAGGCTAACTTATCCAAGGAAATATTAAGCACATCCGAGAACTGGGGGGAAGGCGAAGGGTGGAGGGAGAGGGAATGCTTGGCGAGGGCGTCTGCGCTCCAGTTCCCCACAGCGATTCTTCTCTATCCAACGGGGAGGGAGTCGATGACACTTCTCGCACGATGTGCAGGCGTATGACGAACTTCGGGCATATGATCCCGTTCTTCGTGCAGCAGAGCTCCTCTCCTCATTCCTGCATAACGATGCCGCCTATCCACTTGATGTGACGCGTCGGTCATGCATAACTTCACTACCGTCATGCAGTCGCTGTATCCAACGCCCGAGTAGGGAACAAAGAACGGGATCAGTGACATTGCCTGGTGCTCCGCCACCTGCGGTGTCTGGGGCAAGACGTCCCAGACGGTTCCTATGGCATAAGCAACGATATCCTCTTCAGGGCCTAAAAGGATCCACGCGTAGGCGGCCCTTGAAAGTTCTCGGATTGTGTGCCGTGCACACGATCCGTCCATACAAACATCACATCCCCTTAAGTCGATACTCCCCCAGGGCACTTCCTCCTTCTGCGGGTTGAAGAGGCGAGGGTTGGGGTCGGTGTGGGGGGGAGGGTGGCTGGTTTCGGGGTGTTCCATCTTGAGCTCATCCCAAAAGCTCCTGCATTCACTTTCGGCCGCCTCTTGGAGCCACCCTGCATTACCTCCCGCAACTTCAAGGCGCACAGCAACTACCTCAGGGTGCTGGCGCTGCCAAGCTCTGTGCCTGACCGAGTCAGGTTATCCGCAAAGTGGACATCGTCCATCACTGGCGTATCTTGATGCTCGTGCTCCTCCACGGGTCCATGCACCTCCACAGAAACAAGAGATGGCAATGTATTTTCCTGCTGAGAGAGCTTTCGGGATCCAGGGCCCAGGAGCTTTTGGAGCGGTTCAACAGCAACTCTGGTCCCAGGGAAAGGCGGGGAAAGCGCGGCCAGCTTACGTTCGTGACCTCGTTGGGTGGCTAACATCAACAAATGAGCAACCATGGACGGGGACGTGTAGGCCAAATGGATTTCCCTGCCGTAGTCATCCTCCCACGTGAGGGCAGATGTGGCGCACCATCCAACTCTGAATAGCGACAGGTGCATGCGTTGAATCGGCCCACGGGAACTCCTCCAACTGACCTGGTTGTTAAACGGCACCGCGCACCACATCTGGCATATCTGCTTGACGTTATAGTGAGACGTGACGGGGTCCGTGACCGCAAGCCACACAATATGCGCCCAGTGCAGGGCTGGTGCAACGCCCGCCCTCCAGACAGGGTCCCCTCCGAAACACAGTTTAGCAGTGAGCGAGCACCCTCGATGCCGAGGGACGCGATACGACAGCATGACACGGCGAGCTTGTTGCAACTCACTGTCACTCATGCCAACAATCGCTGATCCGAACGTGGCCGCGGGCTGGAGGCCCGCCACATATATCTTGCCGAAACCCTACTAATTGGTTCGTTGCGCCCCCCCCTTTTCCAATGCCCCCCCCTAATTCCCTATGGCCCCCCCTGCCCCCCCCCTTTTGCCAATGGCACCCCCCCCTTATTTCCAATGACACCCCGCAGCTATTTCCAATGGCGGATCCTATGGATTCCTATGGATTCCTATGAGCCGCTTGCCCTTGCTTGCTCTTGCGTGCTCTTGCGTGCTCTTGCTTGCTTGCTCTTGCATGCTTCTATCGCTTGCTTGCTCTTGCTTACTTGTTAGTGCTTGCTTGCGATCGCTTGCTTCCGCTTGCTTGCTTGCGCTTGCTTGATGTTGCTCCTCCCGTCCTCCTCCCGTCCTGCTCCCGTCCTCCTTTCGTCCTCCTCACATCCTCCTATCCTCTTATCTATTTGGAATCAACGCTGGCGGAGATTGAGCCTTTGGGATATTTATGATTTGTCTTCCAAAATCCGCCTGTAGGGGAACATACCCGACCAAAACCTATGACCATGACTGAACGCAAAAACGTGGGGGCCGATCTTGACCGCTGTCCATCACGGTCATCGTCGATCCGTGGAACATCCTCGCGAATCGGCGACGGCCTGCATGGACCATGGCCAAGACCGGCGTCGACAAGGTCCCGCGACAGCTTGGTCCTGGTCATCGTCCTCCTGATGACTTTGTTTACACGGGGTCCCCGGATGACCTGGCCCTTTCCCCAGGAAGGGCGCTTCATCCTGGGCGGTCGTTTGACGGTCCCTGGGCCAGGTAGGGACCCTCAGAGGCCCAGGTAGAGGCCCAGTCCCGATTCTTTCAAGACGCGAGCATGTCAGGGCCCTCGTGTCACGACTCGGCTCGGGGGGCCGCTCGGAACGATGCGGGCACCCCGAGGACGCCCTCGGCGAGGCGCAGCTGCTGGAGAGCACCCCAAGGCTGGGAAACCCGCCGAGAACTGATGAAGACGAAGGGGAGAGGCTAAAGGAGGAGGAGGAGGAGGAGGACGACGACGAAGAGGAGGAGGAGGAGAAGGAGGAGGAAGAGGAGGAGGATGAGGAGGAGGAGAAGGAGTAGGAAAAGGAGGAGGAGGAGGAGGAGGACGAGGAAGAGGAGGAGGAAGAGGAGGAGGAGGAGGACGAGGAAGAGGAGGAGGAGGGGACCTCGAGTTTCGAACCCTCGAGGGCGGCCCAGCCTCCGGAGGAAGCGGACCATCTCCGCCACGTCCTTGGGCGTCGCGCAATGGGGGGGCGATGAATGGCGAGGTGGCAGCGAGGGCCCCAAAGGGGGCCTTTCGGGCCCGACAAGCGCACCTTTCTCCCTTCAGTGGCAACTCGTGGGAGCCTCCAGTACCATCTTTCGGCTCTTGCGAATCGACGTCCGTCGACGCGAAATCGACGCTTGTCGACGCTAGCTCTTGGCGCCAATCGACGCCAGCCGACGCTGAATCGGCACTAGCTCGTCCGCTCCCAGACGCCCATCGACGCTAGAGACAAAGCTAAAGAGGGTACGCCAGGCTCCCATGACTTGTTGCCGAGTTCTCCCCCCCCTATCTTGAACAGGGACCGACCTTCCCGGCAGTCCTATAGTCCTACCACGAAGTGTTCTTAGAACCCAAAAATGTTCTAAGAACAAAAACAATGTTCTTAGACCATAAACCCGACGTGTTAAAACAAAGACAGACTCCGCCAGAAATGTTCTAGGAACATTTCGTGGGAACCACAAAAGGTTCTTAGAACATTGTTTGGTAGGACTATGGGCGAGCCAGGACGCTTCGCCACTGCTTGACATTCAGCGACGTCCACTGTCCATCTCGCGCCTGCCCGCGTCGCCAGGCGGCTGCGCCTGCGGCCGCAGCAGCGCGGGGGGGGAGGGGGGAAGCAACCCAGACCCCCGACGTACCGATCTTTTCATTGCGTCGACCCCCAGAGGTCCCGACCCTTTCCCCAGGACCTGCTCTGCATCCCGAGTCGTCTTCTGACGCCCCCGAGGCCCGATGAGGGCCCCCGGAGGCCGAAACTTGGGAAAAACCTCCCGCCATGATGTTTTTTGGACGCCCGAGTTATCCGGGGTAACTCGGGTCCGGGGTAACTCGGGTTTGGGTTCCCGAAAAACGAACCCGAGTTAACCCTGACCCGAATTACCCCTGATGATTCGGGGCTCTGGACGCCCGAAATATCCGGGGTAACTCGGGTTCGGGGTAACTCCGGTTTGGACTTCCGAAAAAAGGAACCCGAGTTAGCCCTGACCCGAGTTACCCCTGATGATTCGGGGCTCTGGACGCCCGAGTTATCCGGGGTAACTCGGGTCCGGGATAACTCGGGCTCGGATTCCCGAAAAACGAACCCGAGTTATCCCTGACCCGAGTTACCCCTGATGATTCGGGGCTCTGAGAAAATCGGTGCGATCGCTTTTTTCGTCGTTTTCGGCCCCTGGCGGCTCCCACGAAGCCCCAGGACCGGCAGAGCACGACTCGAGGTGGCAGAACGGGTCCTGGCAAAGTGGTAACACCTTCCAGGGACCGCGTACAATCAAACACATCCGCCTAGCCCCAATTGCCGGGGGTGCAATATGGCATGCGGGTGGCTGCCCCCCTCCTCCTTTCCCCCTCCCCTGGGTTCTGAAAGCCGATGAGAGAGAGAGGGGCCAGAGGGGGGGGGGGGGCGAGCTGCCAAACGCATCCCCAGGGCCTCCTGAGCTTCAAAATCTAGAGTCCGTGGTCTCCAGGATGCCCAAGGATGCCATCTAAGCTGCCTCAAGCTGGGATCCAACACGCCAGGGAATCCTCAACGACGACCAAGACGGCTTCACAGACGACCAAGATTGCCCAAGAGGCTTCACAGACGACCAAGACTGCCCCAAGAGACGACCCCCGAGAGGATCTAAGGAAGCAAAAACTCAAAATCCTGCGGGAAGATGTGTATGCTTAGCACACTCCCGTTTTTGGTGTTTACAGCGTCCAAGACGTCTCAAAAGGCCACCAGGATCGCTCCAGCACGGCTCAGGAAACCCCCAAGCGGGCCTCAAGGCGGCCAAAGAAGGCTCCAAGACGGCCCAAGAGGCGCCCAAACTGGCCCAAGAGAACCTCATCATGGGTCCCAAGAGGGGGCCAAGAGAGGCAACTCGATCTGACATTCCCGGCCCTCAGCCCCAAGAGGACCCCCGAGGCCGCCAGCAGAAGTTCAAGAGGCCGGCAAGAGGCCCGAGGAGACCCCCGAGAGGCCCCCAGCGGAGGCCCCACCGAGGGTCCCCAAGAGGCCGGCCCAGAGTCACCCCGTGGACGTTCGTCATTCTTCTAGGGTTCGGCGGAATAGCATAAGTCTCTTGACAGAGGACATCGTACGACTGAGTCTGGGCGTTGCTGCTTTTTCGAAGCGTTCTCTCGGCTGGCTTCGGGCCCTGACCACAGACCCTGCATTCCAGTGCAGACCGCCCCCTGCCCGTCCAAAGAACCTCCCTTCCCATCTAAAAACACCCCTTCTCCGTCCACAAAGACCCCCCCTTTCCGTCCAAACACCCCCAAAGACCCCACCTTCCTGTCTGCCCACCCACCCCCCTTCTCGTCCAAAGGCCCCCCTTCCAATCCAAAAACCCCCCTCCCCGTTCAAGAACGCACCGTTCCCGTCCAAAGGCCCCCCATTCCCAACCGGGCACGAGGAGTCAGAGAGAAAGGGTGGAACGAGTAGGGGGAGGGGGGACGAGCCGAAGGGATCACGAAAGGAAGAATGGGGGAGGAGGGAGGGAAGGACCAAAGCAGAGGGCGGCAGAAGGGAGATGGAAGAAAGCGCATGGGGGGGGGGATGAGGGTGGTGGATGGACAGGAGAGGATAGCATGCAAGAGCGGGGATGAGGAGAAATAGGAATGCTCCTCCTCCACCTCCTGCTGCATTTCCTCCTCCTCCTCCTGCTCCTCCTGCTCCTGCTCCTGCTCCTCCTCCTCCTCCTCCTCCTCCTCCTCCTCCTCCTCCTCCTCCTCCTCCTCCCCCTATCTCCTTTTCTCCAGCTGCTACTTCATAGGACGCGCCTGGAACCAGCACCTCAATGAAACAGCTCTCCTCATCCTCCTTCTCCTCCTCCTCCTGCTCCTCCTCCCTCCTCCTCCTCCTCCTCCTCCTCCTCCCGTCTCCTTTTCTCCAGCTGCTCCTTCGTAGGACGCGCCTGGAACCCGCACCTCAATGAAACGGCTCTCCTCCTCCTCCTCCTCCTCCTCCTCCTCCTCTCCTCCTCCTCCTCATCCTCATCTTCCTCCTCCTCCTCCTCCTCCTCCACCCCTGTCTTCTTTTCTCAAACTGCTCCTTCATAGGACGCGCCTGGAACCCGCACCTCAATGAAACAGCTCTCCTCCTCCTCCTCCTCCTCCTCCTCCCCCCTCCTCCTCCTCCTCCCCACCGCCCCACCTCATCCATCTTGTCCTCCTCCCCAGCTCCTCGACCCTTCCGACAACAAACAACATAACCTCACTCCCCCCCATCCCCTGTTCCACCGACCTTTGCGAGCTCCTTCTCCACCGCTTCCTTCCCCTCCTACTTCCCCTCCGCCTCCCGTTCCTCCTAGAGGCCTCCTGGCGCGCCAAGGAATCCAAAATCCAAGGATGACGAAACGATATCAAAAAACGCAGATCCGTGAAACTTCCTCTTCCAGCACCGACGATGACGACGCCAACAGCCAGCGACCAAGGACGACGACGACGACGACGACGACGACGACGACGACGACGACGACTGACGAGCGGCGACTGTGACGACCGACGACGACAGACGACGGCAACCGACGACGACGACGACGACGACGACGACGACGACGACGACGACAACGACGACGACGACGACGACGACGACGACCGACCACGGCGCGGGGTCTTACAACGGGCGATGTCCGCGGCACCTAGCTGCCCCAGTACGCAACACGCAAATTGTAGTGTGCTGATGCGAAACTCAACACATAGACTGAAAACGTAGGTCTGGCGCGATCGGTTTCCCCAAACGTGGGCCAACACACATTGAGACAACACGCCGCGTGCCAACACGGAGGTTTTGAATACGGTGCGAGCTGCGTTTCAAAATGGGCGCATCGGACCAACTGCCGTCAAACCTGAAAGCAAGGATGCGCAAAAAGGATGCAGGCCCTTTGGACGTCCGAAACGATGTTTTTTCGAGCGGGGCTGGCTATCGCAAGTGCTCAGTGATGCACCGAAGGCGCAAGGATGCAAGGGCACCCTTGTGCCAGTTGCCCATGTGACTACCTGGTCCACCCCAACCTAACCCGAAGACCCACATTTCGGGTTGGAGGGCTGAAAGGTTCCACATGTGCGTGTGCTTTGTCAATGTTCGTCGACGCCCCCCCCTTCCGGGAATGGATGGCAACCTGGGGCCTTCGGGTTGGGGTGGGGTGGCTTTGTGGGTGGCGACCATGCTTATCATCGATGCCGACTGTAAGCTTCCTTACGATTGGGCGCCCGAGTTATCCGGGGTAACTCGGGTCCGGGGTAACTCGGGTTTGGATTCCCGAAAAAGGAACCCGAGTTAGCCCTGACCCGAGTTACCCCTGATGATTCGGGGCTCTGGACGCCCGAATTATCCGGGGTAGCTCGGGTCCGGGATAACTCGGGTTTGGATTCCCGAAAAACGAACCCGAGCTATCCCTGACCCGAGTTACCCCTGATGATTCGGGGCTCTGAGTAAGCTTCCTTACGACTCAGCCAGCGACGACCGCGGCGGCAGCGACGGCGACACCCTGCTGCGACGGCAGCCGCCGACCGACGACGGCCACCGACGGCCCGCGGCTGGCGACCGGCGGCGCCTGCCGCGCCCCCACGGCGCCGCTCTGCGAGGCGGCGCGCCCTGGGGCCGCGCGCGCGCGATCGCGCGCGCGGGGCGGCGCCGCCGACGGCCCAGACCCCCTCGGGTCGTGAAATAATAGCTACGGAGAAGACGTGTAGCACTTCTGCCCCCGCCGCTGCCCGCTGGGCTGCAGGCCCCGCAGCTGAGCCCGCCTCGTCACCGAGCGTGGACAAACGGAGCCTGCGAGCGGCCGACCAGCCCGGTCTTGGCCAGGACAGGGTGGGGGGTAAGGCTCGACAGCCCTTCCGGCGCGCAAGACAGCAGCGGGCCCCAGACGGCGCAGAGGGCGGAGCTGACAGCCGCCGTCCTACACGCGGTGAGCCTCGCCGCAGGCCCCATCGAGGCGATAACCGATTTGAGGTTGGTCATCAATGGGGTCGCGGCGTTCCGGGGGGGGGCGTGCCCGGCAGAGTGGGCGCATGCGGAGATCTGGGAGGTGCTGGCCCCGCACTGCCAGACTGGGCACTTCGAAGCGAGACGGGTCAAAGGGCATCTCGACGCGGCCAGCGCCAGGGCCCGAGGCATGGCCGAGGAGGACTGCCTTGGGAACGCCGCCGCCGACCGGCTGGCGGGAGCAGCCGCGCGCGCGAGGCTCCCGCCGCCCGCCCTGCTCGCCGGGCGGGGCAACCGACTGCGCGCCCTGGGCGTCGCGCAGCGGCTGCTGGCAGAGGTGGAGCTGGCGGCGCTGCAGCGCCGCTGGCGTGGCCCCTATAGGGCGCGCAGACCGCAGCGCCGGCGCCGCGGCGGGCGGGTCGCGCTCCCGCTCGGCGCGCAGCCAGGGATGTCTCGCCGCAGGGCCCAGCGGCTGGTGCTGCCGCAGCACCGGCGCCGCCAGGCAGCGCGGGCGGCGGCGACAGCAGGGCCCGGTGCGCCGCTATGTTCTTCGCGGGGCAGGCTTGGCAGATGCACGCCGCGCCGCACAAGGCCCCAGCGGGGCGGCATGCGCTGCGGGGCAGCCGCGCCCACGTGGCCGCGGCCGGCGGCGGCGCCGTGCGCGGTCTGGGGCGCGCGCTGCCGCCGCGGGCTGCAGCCTTGCCGCTGCTGCCCAGGGTCCGGGCTGGCGGCCGCGAGGCCAACTGGCGCGCGGCGCTGCGCGCGCGCGCCTGGTGCAGTGCCCCGGGGACGCCGGACTGAGTCGGGCTTCAGGCGGCCAGCGCGTAGGCCGCGCGCCGCCCCGCCCCATCGGCCCCTCCGCGACCGCCGCTCTCTGCCGCTGGGCTTCTTCGATGGGCAAAACATGCAGCAAGGACGGGTGGCAAGGACGCAAGACCCTCGGAGGCTGAAGCTGGGCTGCTGTGGGCGCTGGGCGAGCAGCGATAGCGGCAACGGAAGAGGCAAGGGCACAAGGGCACCCTAGATGAAGGTGCGCGTCCTTACTAAGCGCGTTGACTGCATGCTTTTGTTGCTAGTGTTCGGCCTCTGGAAGCCCTCCTCGGGCCATGGGACCGTCAAACAACGACTTGGGATGAAAAGCTGGTCCCAAGGAACTGTCGAGAGGTCGGAAGCCCGTGTCTCGAACAGATAACGGAACGCTGGATGTCTGGGTCGGGTGCGGTGTCCCTGAGGTCATGGCGATGCAGCTTGAGGGCAGCCAGCAAAACCGCCTCGTCTCGTGCCCACAAGGACCATCACGGGTCGATGCCGTACGAGACGCGGCGCAGAAAGACGGGGCCTGGGGCCCTGGTCGTGATCTGTCGCGATGTTGCATTTTTGTTGCCGACGTCGGCTCTCAAGGGTCGCATGTCCAGACCCCCCCCCCTCGAACGCCTCGAGGTGCCGCCCCAGGCACCGCGCGGGCGGGCGGGAGCGGCAGGAAAGAGCAGGGCGCCCAGCCTTCCGGGGCGCATCGCCTCCCCCCCCCCCCCCCGCGCGCAGGCCCCGCCCGCTCCCGCGCGCTCCCCAGACCCCCGACGTCATGATCTTGTCATCGCGCCGACCCTGGGAGGTCTCGAACCACTCCCCGGGACCGGTTTCTCAGCCCGAATTGTGGTTTGACGGTCCAGAAGCCGCAAACTTGGAAAAACATCCTGTCCTCCTTTTCCTCCTCCTCCTCCTCCTCATTTTCCTCCTCCTCTTGCGCCTTTTCCTCCTCCTCCTCCTCCTCCTCCTCCTCCTCCTCCTCCACCCCGTGCCAATGACCCCCCAGACTTCTTGGTTCTCGATGTGGTTGGGGACGCACGGGGCAGCCTTTAAGGATCCCTGCTGGGGTCCGACGAGCACCCCGACCACGAGGGCCAGGGAGTGGGGGTCGGGGCGACAAAGGCTTAATTCGGCCAGCGAATGCACGAAAGGAGCGTTCCATGGCTCGAGGCTGGGCCCGGGGATCCTGATTTTTCTCCCGATGATCGGGATCAGAGTTTGGGTTATGGAGGCAAAGAGCTACGGACTCACGAAGTTCGCACGTAACACAGCCGGTCGTTTCGACAGGAGCGACCAGGTCACACGTAGTTGAGCAGCTCCCTGCAGCAACCACCACGCAGGTGGCCAGTCTGTGTACCATGCTCACTGCTTGCCGCTGCTTAGCCTACGGGTCGGGGACTACGGACCACTGCACAGCAAGTTCGCGGTTGCCCCTGGCCCGCTGATTCGCCCGGACTAGCTTCCCATTCAGTATGCTGCCACCTCGCGCACATTGCCTAAAGGGTCGGGGACTAAGGACCACTGCGTAGCAAATTCACAGTAGCCCCCGACCCGCTGATTCGACTGGATCAGCCTGCCAGCTGCCGCGCGCGCAGCCATCGTCATGCACATCGCTATATCCGCCTGCCGCTGTTGCAGCTCTCGAGGCATTGCGCGAGTATGTGACGCACGATCGGGCATAGCAGAGCCTAAAACCACGGATAGGCCGGTACACCGAAAATGGGGATGTCAATCTTATGCTATTCCCGTTTGCCCGCCATGCACGACAACGCAAATGTCACGGAGTCGGTGCGCGGGCGATTTCCCGCCACTGCTTAGGAGAACACTCTCCTGAGCTCCCTGAGCGTGTCGTTCTTCTGACCCGGCACTGGAGTGCGAGCGTGAGGTGAGGAATAAATCCCGTCTCAAATGCAACCGCTTGCTGTTGAGGTTGCGGTTGCTTGTAGGCCAGAGCCCATCGAAAGCCGACGGGCTGGCATCCCCCAGAAACGGGTGAACTGGCTGTCGCGGACCGCTGGCGGTCCCTAGTCGAGGCACGGGGTGTAAAGATAATTGCGTTTCCTGCCCGTTTTCGGGCTCCGGGGCAAGGCCTTGCTAGGCCGTGTCTAACACCATTCAGCCATGCACGACAACACAAATGTTCATTGTACGTTTTATATGTGCTTACCGTTTGCGACTTTTCTTCCGATGATCGGGATCAGAGTTTGGGTTATGGAAGCAAAGAGCTACGGACTCACGAAGTTCGCATGTAACACAGCCGGTCGTTTCGACAGGAGCGACCAGGTCACACGTAGTTGAGCAGCTCACTGCAGCAACCACCACGCAGGTGGCCAGTCTGTGTACCATGCTCACTGCTTGCCGCTGCTTAGCCTACGGGTCGGGGACTACGGACCACTGCACAGCAAGTTCGCGGTAGCCCCTGGCCCGCTGATTCGCCCGGATCAGCTTCCCATTCAGTATGCTGCCACGCTGCCACCTCACGCACATGGCCTAAAGGGTCGGGGACTAAGGACCACTGCGTAGCAAGTTCACAGTAGCCCCCGACCCGCTGATTCGACTGGATCAGCCTGCCAGCTGCCGCGCGCGCAGCCATCGTCATGCACATCGCTATATCCGCCTGCCGCTGTTGCAGCTCTCGAGTCAGTGCGCGAGTATGTGAAGCACGATCGGGCATAGCAGAGCCTAAAACCACGGGTAGGCCGGTACACCGAAAATGGGGATGTCAATCTTATGTTGTTCCCGTTTGCCCGCCATGCACGACAACACAAATGTCACGGAGTCGGTGCGCGGGCGATTTCCCGCCACTGCTTAGGAGAACGCTCTCCTGAGCTCCCTGAGCGTGTCGTTCTTCTGACCCGGCACTGGAGTGCGAGCGTGAGGTGATGGCATTTTGTGGGGTGGGCACTTGGTGCGGTCAATAAGCCTCGGCTCGGTCCCTCGACGTTGGAGTTTCCGCTTCGCTGAATAACCGCTCGAACATCCTCCTCCGCAGCTCGTTCCCTCTGTGAGTGAAGCCTCTATGTCGGAAGCCCTCTGCCTTGGATTTCCTAAACAATGCTCGCAAGACGCTAACTCTACCATGCTTCTGCTGCCACTCGTCCTGCTGCCCTGACCAAGCAGAAGAAAAATAGCCACACTTTGTTGTGGCATCCTGGGGCCATCGCCAAGCGGGGATGGCAACCCAGAAAGCCGGTTTCATGTCGCTTTCGCGGTCTTGCTAAAAACTACGGCCGTCCAGACCGTTACGCGGGCCACTGGCATCAACATGCGACTGGAATGCTCACGGCATCCAACCTCGCAGGGGGAAGTCTCCCCGATGGAGCGACGCCCCGTTTGTGCCGCTATCGCGCGGCACAGGTGCTAGTATGTGCAGAGAGGCAGCCATCTTCACAAGGGGGTCCCCCCCGAAGTGGCACTCAGCACGCAAGCATCGCAGGCTGCCTGCATGGGCTGGGGCCCCTGCCGCTTAGCCACACCTACGCTGGGGCTACAGCTCCCAGCGTCTGCCCGACCTGCCAGGGTCCCTGCACTAAGTGCAAGAGCCCCTGAATTCAGCGGCGGGGAAGCAATCGGGCCCACCTTGGGATCCGCTTCCTCCCCGGAGGGGAACCGCTGGGCAGTGCACGCCAGGAGTCAAATTGCGGACCACTGCTGCGGCAAGTTCGCTCCCCCAATATGGGATGCCACCCCGTAGGAGCCCCGATTCGACAGGATCACTTTGGGGCATGGGGTGAGGAGGGGGTGGCGGCCAGCGAAATCGATAAAGAGGTGGAACATCGACGGGTGTTCCTCACTAAGCACCTCAGTATCGTGGCTATCCGTCATCCCCCAGTTTTTAGTCTGCGCGGCGGACACCCGCATCGGCCAGACCCCGCCCCCCTAGGGGCTGAGGTGCGAGTGCACGACCCGCTGACTAAGGATACATCCGAGACAATCCTCCTCCTCCTCCTCCTCCTGCTCCTGCTGCTGCTCCTGCTCCTCCTGCTCCTCCTCCTCCTCCTCCTCTTCCTCTTTTTCCTCCTCCTCCTCATCTCCCCCCGTCACGTCACGATTGTGTTCGTTGCCCGAGGGGGGTCCGGCTCCCCCCCCCACCCCGCCTCCGCAGCGACCTCTTGCCGCCGTCGCCAGCACCTCGCCGCGGGGGGGCAAGGACCGCACACCACCGTACGCCAAGGGGGGAGGGGCACTGCATGACCTCTCCAGGGTAATGCCAGGTCGGGCATGTCCTCTTACGGGGCCAGGGAGGTTAGGCCTTAGGGCTTAGGGGGTTAATGCATCAGGTTTGAAGGTTTAGGCGGTTAAGGCTTAAGTGTTACGCTTTAGGGCGTAGGGCTTCGGCATTAGGGCCTAGGATTTAGGGCTTCGGGTTCAGGGCTTTAGGCTGTAGGGCTTTGGGCTTAGGGCTTAGGCCATGGGGCTTAGGCATCAGGGTCTAGGGCCGAGGCCGCAGGGCTTAGGGTTCATGGGGACAGGGCTTTGGATTCATAGCTTATGTCTTCGGGCTTAGGGTATCGGGCCTAGGGCTTAGGGTTCAGCGGTTAGGGCTTAGGGCCTAGGGGTTGGGCTTAGGGCTGAGGGTTCAGGGCTTTGGGCTTCGGGGTCAGGGCATGGGGCTTCGGTATTAGGGTTCAGGAGTTAGGGGATTTGGGGTTAGGTTTCAGGGTTTAGTGATCAGGGCTCAGGCTGAGGGCCAAAGGCTGGGGCTTGGGGTTGCGGGCTTAGGCCGCAGGGTGAGGAGTTATGGCTCGGGGCTTGGGGCTTACGGCTCAGGCTTCAGTGATTGGAGTTTCGACGTTTAAGATTTTGGGTTGGGGTTAGGAATCAGGGCTAATGGCTGAGAGCTGAGGTTGCAGTGATTTGGGTTCTACGCTTCGGGCGTGGGAGCTCTGGCTCAGGGCAGGGCGTAGGGCCTATTAACGCCCAGGACTTATGGCGTAGACGTTAAGGGCTTAGGGCATAGGGTTTGGGACCCTGGGTTTCGGGCTTAGACCTTAGGGGTTAGGGCTTAGAGGTTTGAGTTTTGGGCTTAGGGCTCAAGGCTTAGGGCCGAAGAGTTAGGCATTATGGCTTCAAGGCTGGGGGCTTAGGTGGCAGGGCTTAGGGCTTAGTGCTTGGTGTTTAGGGGTTTGGGTTTAGGGCTGAGAGCTTAGGGCCCAGGGCTTGGAGGTTTGGGGTTAGGGCTGTCTTAGGGCTTAGGACTTAGGGGAACGGACTGAGGGCTGAGGGCGCGGGACTTACTGTTTAGGGCTTGGGGCTTAAGTCTTCGGGCTTAGGGTTCCAGAATGTGCGTTCTATGGCTTTAGGTTTCAGCGATCAGGTCACTGAGGGCTCAGGGCGTCGGGCTCCTGGACTTAGGGCGTCAGGGCGTCAAAGCGTCAGGACTTCGGGTGTCAGGGCTCGGGCTGAGGGCTGAGGGCTCAGGGCGTCAGGGTTTAGGGCTCAGGACAAAGAAAACGAGGAGAAAGAGAATACAACTCTTCGTACCTTGCACCCGTAACTACGCTTTCCTTTCGGTCGCAAGACCAAAAAACGCTGAACATGTGCCAGTCCACAACAGCACCTAAAGTGAGGACTCCAAAGTGACCATTCTGGCCCCCATATCTATGACCCCCCCCATCACCCCAGGGCCGACGACGCCGCGGGCCCCCCCGCCCCCCGACGGGTTGCCGGAAAACGTTGCACGGAACATTCAATGAAGAAGCCCGCCGTGGGCGCGAAGCCAGGACCAACACCACCCTTGGGCGCCGCGGCGAGGGGCCCCCACGACGCCGACGGGAGAGAGGATGCCCAGTTTAGGTGCTGCTTGAAGTGCCCCTGGCCCAAGGTGTCCTCAGGATTTCCATGGAGGCGCCCACGGTCTCCAGAACACCCCTAAACACTCAGATCACGATGCCCAGGGGCCGGCTTCAGGGGCTTCAAAATGAAGTCAAAAGCCGGGGAGGTCTTGGGCCAGGGTCGCCAGTAGCAACCCCCGACCCAGGGAGGAGGCACTGGGAGGCTGAGGGAGGAGGTGATGCACACGTGAGAAGTGATGCCGAGCCCCCACACCAGATGAGCAAACGAGGCATAAACAGGAGCGTTGGAGGACCGCGCGGATATCTTGGTTCGGGGCTGGGCCCCGCTCCCTGGCGCGCTCCGCGCGCCAGGGAGGGTGTGCCTGAGGGGGGTCGCGCAGATCAAAGAGATCCGCGCGGACCTCAGACACTTTATGTGTACGTCGTATCTCAAAATCGGACTCCCAGACCAGGTCGTCGAACCTCCGGGCCGTCCCCGAAGACTTGCAGCCTGCGAGGCAACGTTGGGAGGGGGCTGGCCCAGAGGGGGCAACATCGAGCTGTAATCGGCAATGCCTTGCCGGTAGGTCAGCGAAAAAAACCGCACGGTTTTGTGCGGGGTGGGCAATCCAGCCCATTTCGGCGAGGCGTGTTCGATCGGCCATATCCAGCCCATCTCCGCACGGTATGCGGCCCATATCTGGCCGCATCGAGCAGGAATCGGCAGTGCACTGCCGGCAGGTCGGCGAGAAGCCCCCGATCGCAAATCCGCACAGTTTTTTCGGCGGTGGACAAACCTCCCTTTAGTAAACCTCCCCTTAGTGAAACGCGCCTGCGACCGAAACCGACGGACCTGGACCCGCAAAAATGACGGCCGCGACGCCCTCTCGCGAACCGAAAACGGCTTATTCCTTAATCGACGTGTCAGGGTAGGAGGTCCATCCACCTCCGATTTTTGGCGAGAAGTGGGCAGTCCGGCCAGTGTCCGGCCCCTCTCCCCGCTGGGATCTCGGACCTCTGGCGGCTGGGCCGGCGCCCGCCGCGGCTCTGGAGGCGCTCTGGCGCTCGGAAGCGCTCGGGAGGCGCCTCCGGCGTCTGGAATGACGGCGCCTGCCCGGGCTTCGGTCGGTATTCCAGCGCCCCTCTACGGCACGCAGGCACTCCACGAACGCTCGCGGCGGTGCACTTCCAGGCACTGCCGGAAGGAGGAGGAGGGGGAGGGGGAGGAGGAGGAGGAGGAGGAGGAGGAGGAGGAGGAGGAGGAGGAGGAGGAGGAGGAGGAGGAGGAGGAAGACGCCAGGGCGCTGCCGGTGGGAAGCAGCCTGGAGCCGGAGGGCGCTGCGGGCAGCCGAGGGAAGCGCACGAGCACCTCGAGCTGCGGCCAGGGCGCGCGGAGCGCGGAGCCAGGGGGGCCCCAGAGCGGATCCAAGAACACCGCGCAGAGTTTCGACAGCTTACCTCCTCCTCCTCCTCCTCCCTCCTCCTGCTCCTCCTCCTCCTCCTCCTCCTCCTCCTCCTCCTCCTCCTCCTCCGCCTCCGCCTCCGCCTCCGCCTCCTCCTTCTCATCCTCATCCTCCGCCCTCCTCCGCCCTCCTCCTCCTCCTCCTCCTCCTCCTCCTCCTCCTCCTCCTCCTCCTCCTCCTCCTACCCCAAAAGAGCACCCCCCAGTGGTGCATCCCCCCCCCTGGTGGCATAGGTTTATACCGTCTGTGTCTCGCGTTCGATCTGAGGCCCTCTCTGCGGGGGGCTGGAGGAGGAGGAGGGGGAGGGGGAGGGGGAGGGGGAAAAAGACAAGCTAGGTGCGCTCGCGTCATATCTGACGTTCTACCCCTGCCTCCCATCCCTTACCATGGCATAGATCTCCTCTGTATTCGCACAATCGAATGTCGTAGCATGGCATAGCATGGTGTTGAATAGCAACGCGTAGCGTGACATAGCACGGCGTGGCGACGCCTCAAAGTGGGGGGCTTCTGCGGTCCAAGAAATCAACGAATCGACACCGAATGTGCAATCATTTTCTAGATTTCGGAGCCTGTTTGGAAGGACCGCAAACCATGCCGTGGCATGGCACTGGACATACTGACGCCGGCGCTGCAACGGGAGCGCAATTCGGGACGAGCGGAAGCGCGGAAATGAGGCCAGCGCTGTAGCGGGAGCACGATTCGGAACGAACAGAAGCGCACAAATGATGCCAACGCTGCAGCGGGAGCACGATTCGGAACGAGCCCCGAAAATGAGGCCAACGCTTCAGCGGGAACGCCACTTTAAGAACAGAAACCACATAAAAAAAATCCCGGGAATCCTGCGTGCTGAAAACAATACGCAGAGGTGGGCCAGATATCATCCGGACGTCATCAGGGAGAGACGAAAGAAGTATTCATTTTGTGAAATTGTGGAGGAGAAGGAGGAGGAGGAGGAGGAGGAGGAGGAGGAGGAGGAGGAGGAGGAGGAGGAGGAGGAGGAGGAGGGGGAGGGGGGGGGGGGAGGGGGAGGGGGAATAGGAGGAGGACGACGAGGAGGACGAGGAGGAGCAGGAAGAGGGGGAGGAGGGGGATGGGGAGGAGGAGGAGGAGGAAGAGAGGAGGAGGAGGAGGAGGAGAGGAGGAGGAGGAGGAGGAGGAAACGGAGAGGGAGGAGGAGGAGGAGGAGGAGGAGGAGGAGGAGGAGGTCGCGCTGGCCTGGGGCGTCTGGGCCGCCGCCCGCCGCCGCGCCGCCTCCCAGGGCGATCCCCGCCAGGCCTCCGCAGCGCGGCGGGGAGCCGCGCGAGGCCGCCGCAGGCCGCCCGCCGCCCCGCCCGTGCGAGGTCCACCGCGCGCCGCCCGGCGGCGCGGTGTGCCTTTTGGTGTCCCTTCAGCTGGGCAGGCGAGCTCCCAAGAGGGAGGGGGGGGGGGGGGAAAGACGAGGGGAAGAAGGAAGGACGAGGGGGGGGGAGGAGGAGGGAGAGGAGGAGGAGGAGGAGGAGGAGGAGGAGGAGGAGCAGGCGAAGGAGGAAGAGGAGGAGGAGGAAGAGGAGGAGGAGGAGGAGGACGAGGAGGAGGAGGAGGAGGAGGAGGAGGAGGAGGACTGCGCGATTGGTCGAATGGGGCCCCTTACGGTCGGACTTGATTGGACAGGGCACACGAGAGGACACAAGACCCTTCCGAGGGCCACACTGCCATAGGAATGTGGGAGGCATGGTTCGCGAGACATAGGACACGAAAGTACCCTTGAGTTGGCGGGGCCGACCTACCAAGCCGGGCCGCGCGCGAGGGGCCGCCCTGGGGCGGCGCGGACAAAGGATCGCTTCCGCAATGAGAGAGAGAGAGAGAGAGAGAGAGAAAACGAGAGAGAGAGAGAGAGAGAGCGAGAGAGGACGAGGGAGCAGGATGCGACTCTGCAGGGAAGCGTCGCGCAGAGCGCCAGGGCACGAACCTCAAAAAGCGGGGGGCCGTCGACCCCCCCTCGCGGGGTGAGGGAGCCGGAGGACGAGGACGAAGACGAGGACGAGGAGGAGGACCAATGTATAGCCAAGACTCATCAAAGATGTTGAAATAAACCCTATCTCCAAACTCCCTCTTTATACGCCCGTGCACGGATTCATTCCCACTGAAGGACATGCCCCGTTGGGAGGCAAGCGTTTCAAGACCCTAAGGCGTGCCAAACGCAACTCTTAAGACCGCAACGCCACGAATCAACCTGACTGTTGCGTTTGGACGATCCTGAATCGCGCCAGAACGCCATTCCTGGGACTCCGACACCGCGACACAAGGTAACGGTTGCGCCCTGGGAGTCCTGAATCGTTCCACAACGCCATACCTGGTACGTTAGCCGAGGGAAATACATGAAAGTCGATCCTTTGTTTGGAAAAACATGTGCTCGGTATTAGGTGAGAGCCGCAGTCTAAAAAGAAACCGCCATCGATTCGTCAAGTTTCTTGGGAAAGGTTTAAAACGAATGTGCGCGGCGCGAAACTCGTTAGCCAAGGGAAATTCGTGAAACTCTATCCTTTTTGTTGATAGGTGAGGGCCACATTCTAACAAGGAACCGCCCTCGATTCGTAAAGTTTCTTGGGAAATGCTTAGAGCGAGAATGCGCGGCGCGAAAGGCGAGAGCCACAGCTTGACAACGGCCCGCCCTCGATCCCTGCAGCTAACGCGCTCTCTTTTACAAAAAGAGCGGTGCGGGGCGTGAGCGCAAGAACCGCATGTTGAAAGCCACCCGCCCTCTACCCTTAAGTCGGGCCTGTCCATCTACCCGACGGTCGGAGGTAGGTAAAAACATGAAGTCGGAAGGCGGACAAAGTGGATTGGGTCCAGGCCCTCCCAGAGAACAACAAAACACAGCAAAAGCGTGTCGATTCTTGAAGTAGGAAGGCGCTTGAAGCAGATTGGGATCTGGAAATCCAAAAATACCTACTTTCAACAACCGACGGGTAAGTCGGGCCTGTCCCTCTACAGTGGGAATCTTCAACAACAAACGAAAAAATAGTCTGGGGACGATTGTTGGAATATGTTTTGACCATGTTGGAATATGATTGGGGTATGTTCGATCGTTCGTCCAAGAGTCCCCCTGTGGGGGGACAGGCCCGACCTAACTCTACCAGTGCAACTCTTGCAATGCTAGAGCGAATATGCGCGGCGCTGGGGTGAGAGCCGCGTCTTGAAGCGGGCCGCCCTCCATGTGTGAGCCGGTTGCCCCTGTTTACGCTTCATGGTCACAAGTGGTAGAGAAGCCTCAACCGAAACGCCTGGCCGCCCTTCCGACCGGCCTCGGGGTGCGACAGGAAGGAACTACTGATGAGGAAAAAGGATGGAGGAGGATGAAGAGGAGGAGGGGGAGGAGGAAAGGGAGGAGGAGAAGGAGGCGAAGGAGGCGCAGGAGGAGGAAGAGGAGAAGAAGGAAGAGGAGGAGGAGGAGGTGGAAAAGGAGGAGGAAAGGGAGAAGGAGGAGGAGGAGGAGGAAAGGGAGGAGGAGGAGGAGGAGGACGAGGAGGAGGAGGAGGAGGGAGAGGAGAAGAAAACCGCGAGAGCCGCGGATCTGGTCTGGGCTCCCCTCCTCCTGCCGTGGCCGCGGGCTCGGCGCCCTTCGCCAGGGGGGGTGGGGGGGCGCGGAGTGCCTGTGCCACCCTGCGGCGAGGCCCGGGGGAAAAGGCTGAGGGGGAGGGGGGAGGGGCAGACGTGGAACTGGAGGAGGAGGAGGAGGAGGAGGAGGAGGAGGAGGATGAGGAGGGTGAGAAAGAAAAGAAGGAGGAGGAGGAGGAGGAGGAGGAGGAGGAGAAGGAGGAGGAAGGGGAGGAGACGGAGGAGGAGGAGGAGGAGGAGGAGAAGGAAGGAGAGGAGACGGAGGAGGAGGAGGAGGAGGAGGAGGAGGAGGAGGGGGAGGACGGGGGGGAGGAGGAACGGAACGGAACGGAACGGAAGACCCGAAGGGGAGTGCACGGCACTAAAGTTTAAGCAGAGCTTATAACGTGGAAACAGTCAAAACTTATTTAAAATAATCGGCTGCTTTGGCCTGCTCCTTTAAACGGATCCTTTCGTATAAGGCTGCCATACGCTGCTCATAGGAGGGGGCCGTCAGGGAACTTGAGTGTGAGGTCCTTACGACTGCCGGAGCGTCTGGGACAGGAGGGGCGGCGGAAAGGCCGAGCCTAGCAAGACGGAGCGCACGATCAAGAGCGGCCCGAACTCTGGGGTTCGGGCACAGACCCTTCCTGAACTCAGACAAAATCTCCAAACCTTTGCGAGAAGGAACCTCACACTGACGGCCTAACTTCAAACCCCTCCCTTGGGACCAACCCCCGCAGCGAAGACAGAGTATCTGCTCTCTAGACGGGTGCCGACACGACCCAGATGTCACGCCAGGAAACGATCTGGGTCCGACCATGGCGAAGAGCTTGTGGCCCATGGGATCGCGGAGCAGACCTCGGAGGAAAGGCGGCAGCCCACGACAACCGTCCAACGGGACGTCGTCTTTGCTGCCTTGAGCAACCCTGAAACAGTTCCTACACTTGAGGCCCAACTCACTCTTTCTCCATCCATGCCACGACACTTGTCGCCGCGACCTCGGGGCGCTGATTTTGCGGGGCCTTGCCCACCGCGCCTCGTTGTCAAAACAGGGGGGGACACTCGCTGCAAGCTTCGGGAAATACCCCGCTCTTTCACCAGCCACATCCAACTCGCTACTGACGTCTGGCATGGGTGCGGGGTGCATACTTAAACCTTGTTTTGCATCTCGGTCAACAGCTGCATTGGCAATAGCGAAAACTTTCTCTTCGCCAACAAGGCCCTGAATCTCAGACTCATCCCGATGAGTCACATGGCGTATCTCCTGGAACAGGGCCGCACCTGCTAGCTGCTGCGCAAATGCTCGCACTCCAGCAAACTGGCTGGACAGGGCGAGCTGATCATTCACATTTTTCTGACACAGTCTGATGGCGGCTTGACAATCAGCCCCGAGCACTGTTGGGCGCGCCGCAAATTGCAATGCCACAGTGCTCAGCCATGACTGGCGTCTGCGGCAGCACTCCTGGGACGATGCCTTTGACTATCGCCACTGGGTCCTCACCCTCATCTGGGCAAACAGCTACTGCCCAGGCAGCCCGCTGCAGCGGCCGAATCCAAGGCTTCGTGCTCGAACCGTCGGACGCTAAACGCAGCGGGGACTGGGAGGTTAAATCAGCAATCGCTTCAGGTTCCATGTCCAGCTCGTTTCCTTGCCCGTCGTAGAGGTAAACCTCAGTCGACATGGACGGGCAAGGCAGCGAGCTATCGTCATACGTATTAACACCGCGCGTACAAATGGGGTTATCGAGATCTTCGCACGCAGCGTTGAGGAAAGAGTCTGGCACCTCTGCTGCCGCGCGCGCCTCGACAACTCGGGGGAGCATGCTGGAATAGAGCCTGTGGTGGACTGTGTCCAGCTCCCCGCACTCACGCAGCCCGTCACAGGAGTACCCCGCCACGCTCGCCCGTTGGTCCACAGTCCACCACATCCACAACTCTTGACTAAATACTTCTGGAACCTGATTAACTTTCTGGCTTTCGGTCCAACAGCGCCCCGAATCAGGTCCAGGGTGGCCCTGGTCCCTGGGGGGAAACCGAGCTTCCGAGCAAAATCAAGCTCCCTCTCTCTCTCTCTCTCAAGACCAGCTTCCATCTATGCTGCTAGGAGAGCAGGAGGCGTTACATATAAATCCACTTTGAGACCTTGCTGATCTATCCATGAGAGCAGACTTTCAGCATGCCATCCAGCACGCTTCAAACTCAGGACGGCTCTGGAGATCGGCCCCTGGGACTTGTTCCATGACGGGCACTCGAGAGGCCTAGACAGCTCCCAAAGTTTCAAGAGCTCGGCATGTGAGACGAGGGAGACATCAGGGCGCCGCGAAGCGGTCCATGTCATTCTACACCATTGCACGGCGGGGGCAATAGCGACGCGGGCGCTGCCATCACCCAACAAAATACCCATAGCCGTGAGCGGAACGCCACCGTGAGCGGGCCCTTCACTTCGGGCCATCATTCTCTTCAGGCTCAGCCGCTCCGAGGCCGTGAGACCCAAGACCTCCGCCCCGAAGCCGGCAGCAGGAGCAATGCTTGTTTCGAAACCTTCTTGAACGGGGTCCCTGTGGGTCCCTTGGAACGCCTTCGGGGGGCCCGGACCTTGCGAATTCTCTTTTTAATTTGACTACTCGGCTGCGCTGCTTCAGTCGTGCTCGCTGCGCATAACGTCGGGCACCTGCGGGTTCGTCAATACCGAGGTG